GATCGTAATTTTTCTTTTTGAATGCTTAAGTATTCCAAAATGCTACCAATTAAACATGGAACAATTTCAAAATAATGCTTAGTAACAAAGTTGAAATTCGATCTTCAACTGTTAATATCTTCTAGAAATGTTCGAAAACAAATTTTTAATGTTTCTCGTACTCTCCAAGTGAGCCTATATCACCCGTTGAAAGGAATGACGCTAATTTTGAATCACCCTGTAGTTATTTCTATTCCAAAAATTTACGAACATCATTCGTTGGTTTGAGTGTTGCATCTAACAATTACAACATGCATTACGAAAACGATCCATTTCAGAAACAGATTAGAAATTCTGTTTAACTACTTTTTGTATGAGTCAGATCGACCTGGTATGGAAAGAAAAGTAGTACAAAACGTGCATACTTTAACTATTATTGAAAATTAATTTCTTAAGCATCTTACATGGGTATAAAACATTTGTTTTGATTTCTAGACCTCTCACATCTAAACATGGATGATGGTGATCTGTACATGCAAATATTTTTTGCATAAAAAACCACGGTATTTTTTGCCTATCTCTAACCATTTAGACGAAATAAAGCTATTTTATACTACTTATTTTGTTAATTGACGTTATTTCTTTTATGTAGCATATTTTTTTTGCATTAAAGATGTTTACTATTAATATTAGCGAAGAGTTTTTTAGTGTTCGAAACTTCTAAATGAAAGGGATTTTTTGCGGCTTAAGCAGAAAATTTTTCTTGGTCTTTCATCAATGTTAGTATTATTAGTGGGACACCCAGTATAAACATATACCTAAACCGTTTATGTAATAAAAATATATTTGTTTACTTGCGTGGGTCTAAGTTAAATTATAAACAGGAGAACAACAAAATTATGCTTCGCTAGTTAGCAGCTGACGCAAATCGCTGACGAAAGAAAATAGAAAATCCAGTGAAATTTATATCCCCCAAACAAGATTAATAATAATCTAATTAACGCATAGGCCGGAGTTAAAACGAATTGGCTTGTAAGGAAATGAAAGTGGATTTCATCCCTCGGGTACCTATTTTACCGTTCTGCGATACGCACACGGTAATTTGCGCTTTTCACTTATACTAGCGCTATTTCCACCAAAATAAAACTTAACAAAAATAAAACTGTAAACATTATTCACTATTTTAAATTTCTTCTTGTTGTGAGTGCCAAGTACAATCAATCATTATTATTTCTAAACAATACGATTTTCCATCTTCTAAATGTTGAATAAATTTGAAATTATTAAAACCTGTTTTATCAGAAAAATTGTTCCAATAATTTTTTTGCTTTATTCTGTTACTTTATTATGATATTTTAAATTTATAACTTCTTCCCAAAATGTTTCCAAAATTATACGATTTATTATTCTAGATTATTCCGTAGTTAATTTGTTAATTTTATAATTCAGTCTGAACATATTTCATATTAAATTATTACGATCTTTATCTTAAAACGTAAAATTGCTCTCGAAAATTGAAATTATCGACTTCGACGAGTGAAGGAAATTCACCACACAGTTCATCTTGCACGAGTTAAGTGTTTTTTTTTTATCAGATGTCGATTTGCTAATCTGAGAGCGAAACTGATTTATAGCTTGTCCCCACTAGAGAACCCTCAATATTTGTGATCAAAGACAGCAACCTGATCTTGCTCTCCCTTCTTTTGACTACTCGCTATTCGGTTCACTTTTTCAGTTCTTTAGCAATAATTGTAAATATCTGTTTAGAATATTCCAGTGAAATACGCTTAATATTATAAACACTATTTCAATATCAATGTCAAAATTGTTCTAAAAAAAGCAAATATGTGCAAGACACGTCTTTTTGATGCAAGCAGTGAGGGCCAACCAACAAACAATGGGCCACCGATGCACAATAAAGCTAAAGGTAAATTTATTTTAAGTCTCAAAGTGGATGAAATTAATATCAAGCATTCAGCAAATGCCTTTGAAGGTTTTCAATCCTTTATACCTACCTAAACCATTTAAAAGAGTTTTTTTAAATGCATTTTACACAAGTTTTTGTGCAAAAATGTACTAATCAGCTAGTCATAATTAAAATGCTTAATATACCATTAAAAAATATAAATCAACTGTGCAGAAGCCGTCATCGAGCATTAAACAATTTTGTAAACATTATATGTAATGAGCAAATTTGGAATTTTGCAGAAATTAAACATACTGTTGGCACCCAATCAAAAACGTTTATTAGACAAAGTGCCTTTCTGAAAAATGTCTAGTTGGCTTTTGGAAAATAAGTCACCCTTTCCATTTTATATTATACCTGTACCTATTACCTACTTATTACTCAATTAATTTGAATCTGATGCAATATTATATTCCCTTTGTGTGTATAGAACAAGGCTTAAGTTCTGAAAAAGTACTAAAATAAATTAAAAAATCAGACCGAATTAAGCGAACAACGGCGGACATTTTCAACAATTCATAAAATAAATTAAAAACGTAAAATCAATAAATTACCAGATATTTCGTCGATAATTTTCCTATATTAATTGGAGACATTTTAGGTTCTAATTCCTGAACCAAGGATCTGATTTTACTTTTTCGTCCATCATTCGTTAGAGAACTTTATTCTCTTTGGGTCACTCGGTAGGGGGTGTGTTGAAATTTTAAAGTAATGACAATTGGTTGCAAAGGGCTGACCGTTAGAAAGTTGCTCGTTTTGAAATGAAAGCCCTGTATACAGGGTGATTCAATATTGGCGTCATTCCTTTTAAGAACTGATAGAGACTCACTTGGATAGTACGAGAAAATGAATTAAAAAATTTTTTTTTTCATTTTTAAAATATATATTTTGTTGTTACAAAATACATTTTTCAATGTTAAAATACATGAATTTAATTGCGTGTTATTCTTTCGTTATCCAATTTAAAAGAAGCTATTAATTTGGTATTAAACTTAATAGACAGATAGATAGAGGAATGCTTTGCTTATACTAAAAATGCATAAATATTTTTATTTTGCGTAATATTTTATCGGATTTCTGTTTAAATTTCAATAGTAATTACATATTTTGTAGAATCTATGATCTAATAAGTGTCTTCATTAAATATCCGGGGTAATTATTGTTTTCAATGATTATTACAAAGGCCTCAGACTCAGGACTAGATATCTAATTTCGGTTATTTCTAAATTACTTCTCGTTTCGTAAATATGTGTCGAAGCAGATAATATTAAATAAAAATGATAAGTGGATAATTGCAAATTATATTTCAAGTACTGCAGAGGAATATGGCAAGTGGTAGTTTTCGATACAAGGGGCGTAAAGTGTCGTTTTTCGTACGACGACGACGTTTGACACCCGAGACGAAGTCGAGGGTCTCAATCCGTCAAGAGTTTGTAAAACGAATTTTTGCCCTCGTATCGAACAATATTTTTAATTCGAATGAAAGACATAACACGAATCATAAGTTATAATAAATAAAAATAGCCAAAAATAAAAGGCGTCAGCTTCATTTTGAAATCTGATGTCAATGCCACTTCTGAAATTGTCCCGTTTTAACGTTTGTAATTTTTTAAAAGCGTACTTTTGTAAACATATACAGTTGAGTCCGGATATAACGAACTTGAAAAATGAAATAAAACTGGTTCGTTATATCCGGAGCTCGCTATAAGCGAATAATAATACACAAACACGTGGTGCATTTTATTTCGTTATTTTTACATAGAGTAGTAGAAGTTAGTAGATATGACTAAAAAGGACACAAAAACATAAACAAAATTAAATTTGAAATCTGCTTCATACGTCTGTACTTTTTGTTTGTTGAAGTCTGTACTTTTTGTTTGTACATTTCTGCTGCAAAAATAGATGTTATTTTTGTAGTTTTCAAGATCACAAAATGACTCCCAGATATGATTCGGAACTTGGCGTGATTGTAGAAAATTCCGAGTTTCTGACACTTTTTTTGTCATTTCAGAAATGGTTGGAACAGAATTAGTGTCTACAGTATAATACGTTTCACCTAAATCGTCATCTTTCTGATTATCGCTTAAAGTTGTAGATGAGGTTACGGAGTCTATAATTTGCTCATCGGTCAACATTTCTCTTGTAAGAATGCCAAGTTTTAACTTGTTCTTCGACAACATTGGGACATCTTCGTCTGTGTCATACTCCTAGTCAGAGTCTTTATACTTTTCTAACCATTCGTTAAGTGAAATTTCATCGTCTGGTTCGTAATCATTTTATTTTGCGCAAAGCAATTTGCAATGGTTTTTCGGCTAACTTTTTGCCAAGCTCTATGAATTAAATTGACTGCATCTAAGAGATTTATAGAAAATGTATCATTTTTATCGTTCGCCTCTAACATTTTCATAAGAAGAGTTTTTCACCGGCAGACTCTCCAACAATTTTTCCGCTACTGATATTATGCCTCTTCTTGAAACGCTCTTCATAACTTTTAGAACAAGCAAACTCTTTGTTTTTAATTTTACTCCCCATTTCACTAGCATTTTCTTGCAAAACACTGCCACTTATGAGAACGTTTTCTTGTCTTTTTTGAGTAAACCACTTAATAAGACCCTTGTCAACCTTTTCATGTGCAGATAATTTTAACTTCCTACATCTAACATTTGTTTTGTCATACGCTGATAAAATGTTTCTCTGTTTTTCCATATTGTTGCAACAGGAGACTTTCCAAGTGCTAATTCCTTACAAATGTCACTCTACTTTACTCCACTTTTTATTTTGTTAATAATCTCGTACTTTTCATTTAGTGAAAAAGCTTTGCGTTTTTGTTTTTCCATTCTAAAACGATTTGCATACATAACGCGGCAAAAAACAACAAGTCACTGCCTGTCTCTCGCTCTCATTAATATAAACAACTCCGCACGATTGGTGTTGCTGAGCGTGGAAGTTCGTTATAAACGGAAAGTGACTATACAACTAACCTAAAAAGTTATCGTTATATCGGGAAGTTCGTTATAACCAGTAAAAAAATACGTTGTTCCTTATGGACGACGTTTCAATTAAAGGAAAAAAGTTCGTTTTAACCGAAAGTTTACTATAACCGGATTTATTATAAGCGGACGTTACTGTATAAGTGAAACAATGAGTGTTGAAAATTCAAGTGCTACATTCACGGTATGCTGGTTGTATAAGTTGCATATTTTGCATAACATTTGCTCTATTTAAAAAGATCGTGTTTTGTGTGTGGCAACATCGGCGAGCGCAGAAAAATACACCATTAGAACGTCTTTGAGACTGAACTTGTAACAAAGTTATAATTTCCAAATTGTCACTGAACTTTAAATTATGATCAATAGTTTGTCACAAAGCATGTCGGTTAGTTTTTAATGAAAATGCTTTTAAAAATATAATGACAGTGACACGTTCAGTTTGTCACATTTACTTTTGCGCACAATGTGCGTAAAAGTAAAACGAATGAACAGTGAAGAAAAGTGATTTTTTATTATTAAATTTTTATGATCTTCTAATCAAAAAATGTCGTTTTTCGAACGACGACGGCGTTTGATACCCGAGTCGTAGTCGAGGGTGTCCTTGCGTCAATTCAATCAATCAATCAATCAATTTGTCATTCAATATTTGTTTGAATCAAGCAGATTTTGGCTCATTTAACAAATCGTGAATACAATCTAGTTGGAGAAACATACTTATTATAAGGGAATATCATATTTGAAACCTTCTCTCTTGGAGTTAGACATTTGATTTAGACTTTTACCTAAAGATACTAATGATATCCTACCTTTCATCCCTTGTTCATGACAGAAAAGCTCTAAACTATTTGAAGATGGCTTACATATAGCTAAAACGTTAGCTAAATAAACAGTGTTTTTGCCGCTTTCTATTGATCAAGTTACCCAAAGACCTCAACAAACATCTTTCACCAAATAATATCACGGTCATAAACAAACTGCAACCCTATATGATATTCACGTAAACCCAGCAAAAATTACATTTTTGTCTGATGACTTTTCAGTACCTATTTTATCAGTTTTTGCCTCGTTTTCAATCAGAAAAATACCTGCTTTTTAGAGTAGAAATGAAACGTTTCTTTTTCGTGTCAAAAGTCATTTTCTATATTAATCTTCATTGCCAGGGTTCGGTTAAACAACAGTGGCTATATTAAGAACACAAGCTTATGGCTCATGACATAAGCCCACGCCTCGTACATGATATAAATATTTACTTATGTTCAACTAATTAAATGATAAAATGCACATTAAACACAAATAAAATATTTATGTATCTCGGATCACTCAACTTGATTTTACTCAATTTGTTTGGCGCAAAATTTGATTTGAAGACGATTAGAAGGCTAAGACTAACCACGGAATGCGTTTTGCTTTTTCATTAAAAAATCAAAACCCGTTTATTACTATGTTAATCTCAATATTACCCAGTTAATATCCAAAATAACATGTTACGTTGGTTAATGTCCACATATTAAGTTAGCTTAATAATTAAATATTAACTGATATTCACGTAAAAAGTATTCCTGGTACTCAGAAAGTGACCAACATGAACAGGCAGAAATGACTGAACTAGACATTGACCAGATAATTTTAAATTCTTTCGAGATTAACATAATTACATTTATGCGAAACTTAACGTTAACTGGTTAATCTCGAGATTAACCAAGTTTGAAGTTTAACCGGAACGAATATACAGGGTGATTCATGGAAACTCTAAACGCTTAAGAAACTACACATAAAATGATGTACTTGAACCCAAGAATGCTTTATCCGAAAGTTGATAGTTCCGTTCGCTCTAGGTTACAAATTTGTAAACGCATACTTTTTTGATTATATTATTTATTTTTAATTGCTACATTGTCCATGACGCGCGCTAGTTAAAGCAAATCTACCGACATTTAAAATCAAAAACTTCAACTGACATGAAATTTGATA